CATCCATTCTCACCCTGGCGAGAAAGGAATCCATTCAAAAGCATTAGACAGCTCACCATATTCTACCCTTAAAATCCTAACACAAGTCTTACACCACTGTGCACAAGGGATTTTTTGGCAGTCACAGGCTCTGTCATGAGGCAGAGCTCACAGACAATGGGAGAAGAAAACTGTCAGTGACATTCATCCTCACTGAGTGGGACAGACTGCATGAGGCAGTGTGGCTGTGTGGAGGGACAGAGATCCAGACCTGTGGCAAGCTGCTGCTCCTGGTGGACAATTACCAGTCAAGGCTCTTGACTTAGATGCATTCTTCTGCTATCCCAATGCATTTACACCTAGAGACCTTAAACAATGGAATATCTGCAAGCAACCATGTCTAAAGAAATATTTCAGTATGTCTCTCCAGGAAATATTCAACTGCAGAAAGGCATTTCTTAACACTCCTAGAGTAAACTGGGATGAAAATTGTAGCGAAGGCTGGAGAAGAGCCCAATGTGTTTCACAAGGTTGGGCTCCACCACATAGGCCCGCTCCCCCTTAGCTCTCAACAGAGAGTACAGTGCCATGTCCTTGCCAAAGCCCTTGTGGCAGTACATCTGGGACAGGTAGGTGAGGGTCCTGCGGGCTGCAGGGGCAGGGAAGAGCATAGCTGGGGTGCAACACTGAGAGGCAGGAACCACACTGTACAAGGAGGGACTCAGGCGACGCAGTTCCAGGAAATAGTGTCGGCCCACCAGTTCCACCAGCCCCATGCTATACAGAGAGAAGAAAAGCATCACAGGCCAACTGAAGCCTGGTCGGCAGGCAAACTTCATGTATATCCAGGTTAGCACAGGCCCCAGCAGCATGCCCACGCCAATCCACTCTAGGATCCGCATAGGCTCTGGGTTGATGTAGTGCTGTAGCCTCTCTGGGTGATAGAGCTTTAGATACAGAGCATCTTGGAGGTGTGGCTCAGAGAAGCGAGCCCGCAGAAGGTGCTCCAATACTGGGAAGATCTGTTCTTCTGGAATGGCGTCATCCTCTACCATCAGGACGTAGTCTGGATTGTAGGTCTGCAGCGATGACTCCAGGCAATAGACATAGTCTTGCTTCTCTTTCTCAAACGAGTTAGTTGAAGGGTCATCGCCATAATCATCTTCGGTGCCCTCATAGCGGTTGGCCACAGGGACATACTTAGAGAGCAGCTTAGCGTCGAAATGACTCACACTCCGTTCCACATTGCACAGGAAGAGCTGGTGGCCCTCACACTGGGGACCACACTGCTGCAGAAGCCGATGGAACTGGGACACTACCTGTAAGACATAGTGGAAGCCAGGCTGCCTATCCACAGTGATAATGGTGATCACCAGCCAGGGGCGGGGAGTAGCCTGCCACACGATGGGCACAGAACCATTGGCAGAGGGCAGCTCTTCAAAGTAGTGAAGCGCAGCCTCTCCCTCCTTCAGGTTTTGCTGCAGGAACTCTTGGCTCATCTGGTTAAGATGCCAATGGCGCAGATAGAAGTATGAGTGCAGGAGCCGGTGGCAGGCCAGCGGGGCCAGTAAGCCAAATGTCACTACAGTTAGAATAAAGAGCTGGACAGCAGTGCTGTTCCAGGAGAGTCGCCGAAGCCTCCGGAGAAGCATGGCAGCTGGAGAGGTTGACGTGGTCATGAGGTCAACTTTTGGTCATGTCTGGTCCCAAGAACAAACCATCCTGGATCTCAGGCCAGAATCATTAAGTCAAACCTAAAGAGAGAAAGCAGAATCAGAAAACAAATCTTTAAAAAATCCCAACAATGTAAGCCCGGCATACACCAAGTCAGAAATTCTTGTTCAAGGTTGTGTAGCTACTGGAGACTAAGAAGGCTTTTCTGCAGTGATTGTTTTCTTGGGTTGTATTTGTCAGTGAGCCTTGGGAAGCTCCCGTTGTTTATGATTAGACATACCCTGTGCATTCAACCAATTCTCCACACTTAAAGATATGATGTTGGCATCACAGTGTGCCATAAAATCACCAGCATCTGGTAAAGTTATTTCCATTCACTAGCCACAAAGACATGGGAGTTAACATAGGCACATAATACACATAGTTAGGGGAGGCTGCAGTATCAATGTATAATACTTGACTGCGTAATTTCTGAAAACCTTTTCTGTATATCCCAAAATCAAAGGAATTCTTGGTAGTCCTTGTTATTTAATGCCATCTGTGATTTCTCTAATCTCATTTAGTCTAACCATTTAATTCTGATTGTCCTCTGTATAGGACTATATTTGGGAGAAGCCATCTTCCTTATGCAAGCAAACTGTAGACTTTTGAGATGGGATGGAAGTATCTACAATGGGACTATTTGGTGAGGTGGGCAGGGTAGACCAGAAGAAGGGACAGCTTGATCCAGAAAATAATGTCTTAGGACACAATAGCTCAGAGCACAGGTGTGAATCCCAGATCTGCTAACCAACTGGTGGGAAGTCACCTCATCTCTCTATATCCTGGATTCCTCTGCTCTCAAACAGAAATAATCAATATCTCGTTGGGTTTACTATGGATATTACATGTTAGAAAGGAAAACTAGACAAAATAAAATGTCATTAAAATATGTCTCATGGAGCAGGAGAGATGGCTAAGTCAGTAAAGCACTTGCCATGCATACAGAGGATCTGAGTTTCAACCCTAAATGGAGCCCCTCCCCAAAGCTGGATATGAAGGGACATCCTTCCAATCCTACCACCGGGGAGGAAGAGACCAACAGATCCCTGCACTCACTGGCTAGTCAGCTTAGCCTCCTAATCAAACTTCCTGCCAGACCTTAGATTATAAACA